CTGGAGGGGATGGGGGGGTGGGCAATTAAGTCAGATAAAATTCATTTCATAGGAAAAGGAAAGAGGCACCTTGATGGGAGAACTAAGTCACCCCGACCAAAATCAACAATTGGCAGGTATCTTAATCCTCAAGGTAAAGCTGCTCTCTCTGGTTCCCGAGATAAACAAACTCTTAATTTTTAGAACCAGCCTTACTCACAGAAGGGCACAGCCCGTTAGCTAAAGCTATGTCTGGCAGGGACAAATAATCAAACACAGAGCTGTGTCCCATCAATGACACAGTCCCTGGTACAACCCATCTACTTCCTAATCCAGTCCATTAGGACCTGGGCATTGGTCTAAGCCAATTCAGAACACAGCCAGCTCCTGAGCTAACAGAGAGGGTACAGATCCGGTAGAGAGAGTCTGCCTCAGAGGATCCCTCAGACCACACCAAAACCCAGTTTCTACTCAAATCCCAACTTTCTTCCCTTTGAAGCTGGGTTCAGTGTAAGCAGCAGGCACTCTCTGGTCACCACCATGATACCCGTAGCAACTCCTAGGACCAGGCAGCAGCTGCCAGGCTGTTCGTTCATTTTCTCTTAACTATAGCTGCTCTTATTACTGACCAGCCCAGGATGTACGGAAGAATTCAGAACCATAGTTAACAACTCACATTCAGAGTAACAGGGACTAAAGGATCTAAGTCATGGCCTCCAAAGGGAAGTGGTAGAAATGAATAGAACAGGGTCCAAGAAGCCTCTTCCCATAGCAAGTCAAAAGAAAAACTGCATCAAGGAAGGGTAAGAATCTGGGTTTACACTAAGTTTTAGACACCAAAAGGAACAGGATAAATTACTTCCCCAATTCCTTTCCACATGGCCGGTGGACGATCACCTCCACTATTTTAAAGCCATACTGACATGAAAACTGGGGATTCCAATGTATTGGAATCCCATATTTCGAATACAAGACAAACTCAAAACTTGCAAAACCACATCACCTTTAAAGGTGAGAAATAAAATTTTAAATAGTAAAATATAATATAAAAGGCTAACTATACAAGTGAGATAGTAATTGAGGATGTAATATAAATTCAGGTCTTTGTTGTCTAGATCAGAATTCTTGGCAAAAAAAGATTC